ATCGTTGTTCGATGGTTTCCCTATTTTAGCGAATACCTTCGGACACCGTTCGTTTTCAGCTAGCAAGAAGCCTCGCACAGTATTCGAACGGCGTTTCGCAAGGATGAGACTCGCGGAACAAGTGGAAATAGAGCGTCGACGCTGATGAATTTCGCAGAAAGTGGCTGTGATTTCCGTTGGAATGCAAGCGAATATCGCGAAATGGGAGCATTTACGTGGAATGAGATCCGCCCGAGCATTATTACGGTCTAGGTTAGCCTTGGATTTGTTTAATGCCGCAAGTATTCCCTGCGGACGCGAGCGAGATGAAACTTGACCTTGCGCGCCGCTGATTCTTCAGCGATCATCAAGATCATTTGAAATCTTATTTCCAACGTTTCATGTAATGTTCTTGTCCCCTTCGCTCTCCCGTGTTAATTAAAACGAAAAGAAAGAATCGTCTAGCTTGAATGTTTGTATTTACTTCGAGCTGTTCGAAGGCTGTTCGATATGTAATTATCGAAGATATAACAATATTTCCGAAGGTTGCGGAATTAATTACAAAACCGTTGAAGAGTAAAGTCACGAAGGAGCCAACGGTCATCGGCGCTACCATGCCAACGGAGCTTCGCTTCATCGAACGAAATCCACTTTCACCGTTCAACACACCGTCTCGAGTTCCCTTGCAAAGTGCCTAAATTCTGATGCGAAATTACAGGTTCCACGTGGCTGTGCCTGGAAATCACGGAGAGGCTGTTCACCGGGCAACGTGATTTTTATAATCGAATCGATGTACCGAATCCTGTAATTCCGGCACAAGCCAATATTGCTTAACCTCACGCCGGACGCGTCATGAAGATTTCGAGATCCATTTAACACTGGAATTACTGAGCATTTAATACGATTAATATGCAATTTTCATAAAATTGTAACAGTAGATTATTTTCAGTTTCTTCGGACGTTCATTATAGCACTGAAATGAAACTATTTATTTTCAGAAGCATTTCGAATATTCAATGCTTCGAAAATATCAATAATTAAACAAAAAAATCGAAACCAATTTGAGAAACTACTTTGCTATTAGCAATTTATTATCCACTAAACTCACTGAAGATTAGTGTTTACTATTCACTAATGTAAATCTTCGCTCACAATGTAATGGAAGATTTCTAGATCAATTCAATATAAATCACTATCCTTCATAACACATAGAACAAAGTAAAAAATTACTTCGCTATCATCAATTCACTATCTACCAAACTTCCTACCAAATACCATTGTTCTTATTTCGTGAATAGATTCCTCGTTAAGTTAGTTTTAAAAAATGTCATCTATATCTCATAAAAATAAATTGAATATTTCTACTAACAAATTTTTCGAGTGCAAAGGATTAAGATTTTACCATTGACTACTCACTCAAAGAAATTTTCACCCTCAACGAAATGCAAGATTTCCTTCGCAGATCCTTGCAAACAATTGCGTTTCTTGGGAACAGTAAAAAATGACACGACAAAATAATACAGGTTAAGTAGGTTACCGTTCGCGTTATCGATAGCCTAGGCTTCAGCCGGAGTTTCGATCGACTTCGGCCGCGGCGCGGGTTGGGGGAGGTGGTACTGGTCCGACCGGATCGTACAACAGGCCTGAATGAAGAGGAGTCCTCGAAAGGAGGGCTGAAAAACGTTCGAGCACCGAGTCGAGGCCCTCCCTTTATGCGGCCCGTGTCCGCCGAACAATGTCCATTCACTCGGAACGGCGAGCCCCGAATACGCTGCCCAATAAAACCGAGCCGACACGACGCGGCGAAAACCTGCGATCCTCCGACGGGATACCTTGCGCAAGCTTACGTAACCGGCTGCCGGGCACGACCGATATCGAACACGCTCTATCGAATCATTTCTCAACCCTTCGCGCTCGACGATATTTTTCGTTAAAAATATTCATCGCTTTCTGGCTAAATATTAACGATATTTCTCGCAACTGACACAATTGATCATCTATAAATTAAGAGACAGAACTATTTCACTTCGATGTTTTATGTGTTGATACATTACACATGGTTTAACCCTTTGCGGACGAGGATTCTTCGAAACATAGAAACCATTTTACATATTACCTTCAATCCATTCATCACGCGAATCATTACAGAACCTCAGACAGATGACAAAGATTCATACGCTCGAAACTCAGCGGCCATATTGTCGCATCCTAACCTCACTTCAGAAAACCCCTGAACCGAAAATCACCAGAACCGACAAAACAAGCATAAAAGCATCAAAGTAGCCACAAAAATAAATCTACTCCGATCCGATCCGTTGCAGGTCCCGGATGAAGCCGTCGAAGTATCCCGAGTCCGCGTCGCGTGTCGCGGAAGAAGGAAGCGGCGCGGCGTCGAGGACAACGCGGGCCCGAGAAATTCTTTGCGCGGCCGACAGCCGGATCAGAGCCGCCATTAATTTGTCTAAGCGGATGATAAATGCTGCGAGGAATTTTTTTGAGGGCACGAACCGCGGCCCCTCGACTGGAAGCCCGTTGTCTGACAACGGTGATCCTTTTATTTCTCATCTTCCCTCCGTCTTTCTCTCTCTCTCTCTCTCTCTCTCTCTTCCTCTCGCTCTTTCTCCGTCTTGAGTTCTTTTTTCATCGCGAGGGAAAAAGGATTAATGGGCTTATAGCATGACACTGTCGACCGATAAGATCGCAGGCCCGTTTTACCTGTCGGCTGCCGGCCCCCTTCCACGAGGGCAGCGGCCGATCATATCGCGGAAATCCAAATCGCATCGTGTATCTCGTAAGTCCGCTGGTAAGACAGGCCTTTTATCGATTTTTGATCGCGGCCGCCTCGACTTCGTACGTCTGACAGGACCCCGACTCGCTCGCTCGCCCGCTTACTCGCTCCTGCGATTCTTTCCGACTACCAGCCGGGCCGTGTCATTTCTTTGAGAGCTCGAGCGTGAAGAAGGTACGCGATCACGAAATCGAGACGCGCGATGATGTTCGTGTTCTTGTTTCGGGATCGGTGGAGATCGCTTGATAATCGGGCGACCGTTCGTTGGATTCTTCTTTTGATCGTTTAGTGAGATAACGGTATTATTATTTTTGATAGTGTGATTAAGTAGATAGCACTTCAATTATTTTATAGTTCTCTGTGGACAGGATTTATGATTGTAACTCTTGAAAATAGAGGTTTGGAGACAGTTTCTTAACACTTAGCACTCCAGGTTGTTTTGCAATCTATCGGCAAATGCTACTAATTTTTATAGTATTCCTAGCAAAAATGGGAAACGCTATAATATTCCTTCGATCTTTTATTTTTCTTAGTACAAAATTTGGATGTGTGGAAAATCGAATAATTTTAGGGTAGTTTCTTTATTCATTAAAGTATTTAATATCATAACTAGTGCAATATTGGAGCCTACAGAGTTCAAAGGGTGAAATATTATAATCTCGATGGAATTGGTGGATTACACTTTTCAACTCCTATTGGAAACACCCTAATTACTATAACTATAATGAAAATCACTCGAAAACTCTCAGCTACCAATCACTCCACACTCTAACCTTCAAAGGGTAGTTCCATGTTGCTCTGTAAAATACATTTGCTAAACTCTCAGTTCCCAAGACTAACGACAGCTAACTATAACCCTTTCGCGACGGCGTACCTATACCATACTTCGCCACTTTTCTGTGTTGCCTAATGCCAGTACTAGCTTCATTTTGATTTCGCTATTGAAATAAAACAATAATATAATTATGACTCACCAACAAGTGACTGTATATACACGGCACCGAAAAGGGTTAGTGAAGACGTAAGTCCCCGTTCCTCACGCAAAAGAATTTCAAAATCCAAGGCATCTGCAGATTCTTTGTCTTTCGAAATTATAGGGGGATGGTTTGAAATGATAGCCACTTAGCCGCCTTCCGGTAGCCGCGACAACGCCTGGCCCCGCTCCAGAAGGTCCCCGTCGTCGCCGGACCTCCCGCGAGGCGCGAGTAAACGGATTTCACGCTGTTAAGCTGGCGACCACGGGGAAAAAACGAGACGCGACTCGTTATTGTTCGCGGTAGCCGGCACTGCGGCCGGAAAGGGGAGGTCCTCCTCCGGGCGAACTGCTCGTGAAAGTCGACGCCCTGCCTTCGGCTAATGTCCAAGGTAATTAACGGTTGCGATTCAGGCATTTAATCGGCCATCGCAATTAATCGACTACGCCGACCAATTTGTCATCGCTCGTATGGACTACGGCGAATGTTACAGCCCCGGAGGGGTAGTTATTTCAATGCAGACTGTTGCAGGCTGTTACGGTCAGAGTTTCTCGCGTTTCGTGTGGCTTTGGAAGTTGACATTTTAGATTTGAGACTTGAAACTTGAAATTCGAGAATATGAAACGTGAAATTTCAGGTTTGATCGTAATTATGAAACTTGGAATTTGAGATTCGAACGTTTGAAACTTGGAACTTGACATTTAAAATTCGGAAGATTGAAACTTGTGATTTGTAACTTGAAATTGGAAATTTTAAATTCGAAGAAAGATTGAAGCTTGAAATTTGAAAGTTTGGAACTTGAAATTTAAAATTCGAAAGATTGAAACTTGAAACTTGATATGTAAAATTTAAAATTTGAAAGTTTGAGACTTCAAATGTAAAATTTAAAATTTGAAAGTTTGAAACTTCAAATGTAAAATTTAAAATTTGAAAGTTTGAAACTTGAAACTTGGAACTTAGAACTGAAAATCTAAAATTCGAAAGATCGAAACTTATGACTTATAACTTGAAACCGAAAATCTAAAATTCGAAAGATCGAAAGATTCGAACTCAGATTTGAAGTTCCTAATTACGAAACTTGAAACTTAAAATTCCCAATCCCAAAATTCGAAAACATCCGTAAATACCAAAAGACCCACTCTCCAACAACTAGATCTCCAATCAAAATAAGAAGAAATCTCCGAAGTGAATCGTCAGAAAACCACGGAGAAGCAAAGCTGCAAATCCTCCAGCAAATTGTCGAGTATAATGATCGGTACCGTGGCATCGACAAAAACTCACCGGTCTCTTGGACGGTTCCGGTCCCTGTCTGATGATCTCCAACGGCGCCGGTATCGACGGCCTGCCCAGGTACCAATCCTCCCGCGGGTTGTAGTTGTCCAGCAGTTTGAGCAGCCGCGGCACGTTCACGTAATTATCGTCATCGAAGTGGCAGAACCACCTGAAAACCAGCAGAACAGGATCGATTTAAATCCCCCGCTCGAATGCAATTTCTCTGGCCGCTCGTGACGCCTTCGGTGCATTCGGAAACGTCTCGTCCGCGGACCGTGCCATTAACCGGGCCATTCGGGCCGATCGCCATCGGATCTTTACACAACGAGCGCGCTATCTGGATCGCGTGTCCCGATGTACGACGTCGTTGATCGGAAACGGAACGGTTTTATCGGCGGCTGCGACGGTTCGACGACGCGCGGAGTGAATTCCACCGATAAAAATGCCCATTCGATCTCGTCGACGTTTATGCGTCTCGGCTAGGGCTTCCTACGTATATTCCTGCTCGGTTGAAACTGTAATTCGATGTAATAACTGGTATAATGACGAAACTTACCTAAGAGAAGTAGTAATAAAAGTAACCCGCTCGTTACCTTCCTCTGACTCACTTTTTCTTAGTTGCGACTCTAATCTTCTGTAATTTCTAATGTTAAAACTAAACTATACGTCAGTAATATAATTTAATACTTAAGGCTGCTTAATGAATATAATGACTGAAATGATCCCTTAGTTTTCTGCCTTATTTTCCGCGTAGAGTTCAAAGTCTATGAAATCATTTCAGATATATTCTACATTTCCTTACTCTCAATAATTAAAAATACTTTAGTGACTTGTATTTTCGGCGGTGCGCGATAAATGCTCTATAGCGTGTCACGTGATGTGTCCGACGCTGGAACTACTGCGCCCGACAAAATGGCGGATCTTAGTTCTCTGATTTTGCGATTGTCGGTATTTTGAAGGTGTCGAATAGTCGAAATGACATTGAGAATAGCTTCGTTTGGATGTTATGAACATGAGAATTTGTTGGTACAATTTGGTTAGGATTGGGGGTTAATTATATTAACCTCCATCATTCAAATCATTATAAATATTGTGATGATAGATTGTTTCTTCGGATATTCCCTATAATAATCAAGTGGAGTTGTTTATTCCATGCTCCTAAGATATCACTAATTGCGAAACAAAAGAATGGAGACCTCAAGTGAACCTCAAAGTAAGAAACCAAGAGCACTTCGTACAAGGATTTTAAAAATACCCAGCCCAATTCCAAATCACCGAACATCCAACACCCGTAAAAAGCCCATGCGAAAAGAAACCGAGAGGAACCAGGAGTCGTAACCGAGTCCCAAATAACGCAGATAAAACGGTCCCCTCTTATCTGTCATCGAAAATCAGCGAAGAACCGGCAGATCCACGAAGGAACTGCAGCCCACGGTGTATACACACTTAGACGAAGGTCCGTGGAATTCGTTTTCCGGCAAATTGGCCCGCGGGTATGCAAATCCGCGATAAACCGGCCGGTGTCGTCCGATAATTACCCGGTTACGCGATACGAGGACGGATAAGGGTGCAGGAATTCGATCTAATCGGGCGGCGTATGCGGAAAACTCGGGAGGCGCGTATCTTATCGCGCGGCGGGGCGGGCCGGACATCGAAAAGCAATCGCGGGTACGCGGTTTCCTGGGACCGCGGCGCGGTGGAAGCGCGGGCGAAATAAAATCTGCCTAACGAACGGTTCCGGCGCGCCATTAAAGCGCTACCGGGTGGCCGTGGACGCTCGATACGCGGCCCCGCGTCGTTAATACACCTGAATTCCAGGTTTAATGGGGTAGCCGGGTTAGCTCGCCGAGGCCGGCCAGAAACGACGTCTCGGTCCGCTTGATACGCGCGCCGGATCGTATCTTCCGCGTGAACCGGAACGGTACAGCAGGCGAATGCGACGGTGCACCGTCCCTTGGTTCCGCGGACCGCTGATCCGACTTCGAGACTCTGAGACTTTGGATTATAGGGTAGTTTTTGGAAAGGGGTGCTTCGTGAGAATATGTTGTTTCGTTGACGGTGATGGTTAATGGAGGTTTTTGAACTTTGGTTTCACTGGGAAAGAGTTTCTGCTGTAGGTTCTTTGTGAATTTGTTTTGACACCTGTTGATATTCTTCGGATTTCTATCGTGAGAGTTATTGGGGCTGAGAATTTTTCTGTGAAGCGGTTTTTTAGCGCTTTGAATTTTCATGACGCCGATTTTCTAACGCTCAGAATTCCCTATGGAATGATTTTCTAACGCTTTGAATTTTCATCACGCCGAATTCCATATGAAACGATTTTCTAACGCATTGAATGTTCGATCGCGCCGATTTCTCTATGCTTTGAATTCCGTACGAACCGATTTCCTAACGCCTCGAATTTCGACCGCGCTGATTGTCCTAGGCTTCGAATTCTCTATGGACCGATGTTTTAGCGCTCTGAATTTTCATCGCGTTGATTTTCTAATGCTCGGAATTCCCTATGGACCGATTTTCTAACCCTTTGAATGTTCGATGGCGCCGATTTCTGTATGCTTTGAATTCCTTACGAATCGATTTCCTAACACTTTGAATTTCGACCGCACTAATTATCCTAAGCTCCGAATTCTCTATGAACCGAGTTCTTATCGCTCTAAATTTCCATCGCGCCGATTTCTCTAAGCTTTCGATCCCCTACAATCCGATTTCCTAACGCCTTAAATTTCCATCGCGTCGATGTCCCTTCGCCTGAAATGCCCTACGAACCAATCCCTCTACACCCCAAATTCTCCACAAACCTACCACATTCGACCATGCCCGAAATTCTCAAAAACCTCCAGCAGCTCTCACCCCAAATCCCCTAAGCATTAATCCCCAAAATCCCCGATCCCTTATTCACAAATTGACCCGCTCCCGATGCACCTGCACCGAATGAATTAATTCAACGAATTCCCAACGGGACCAGCTTCCCACGCAGGAAATACTCCCCCCGAAAGTTTCCAGCGTTCCGAACAATTTCACGACTTTTTCCGTCGTGTCTAAGATTCCCCCGCGTCGCACTGTATCCGGGGATCGCCGGAATCGCGTTCAACGGCGAGAAATTCGTTGAGCCGCGGAAACGCGAGCAAGAAAGGGGAACGGTGATACGCCCCCTTCAATCTGCATACGGTATTCGAGGCGTAGACGAGCGGCACGGGAAACCATGAATCATTTATACAGCCGCGACTCGACGCCGAGACTAATTTCGAATTTGCCGCGGGACGAACTCCCGTGGATCAGCGGCGCAGAAAAAACTTCTTGAATTTTCTTCGACGGAGATGCGGGTCGTTTTACAAGCAGGATCATGTTTATTAACGATGGAAATTAGGTTCGCCAGTGCAGCACGCGTGGAATCTTATAGGATTGAAGATGATTATTTATGGGAAACGAATTTGTTCTCAGTCTACGTGCTCATTTCTATAACAACGTAATTAATATGACCAATATTTGTAGTTTCTCCCGATTCGCATCATGATCCTATTCGTCTCGGTCTACCTTGATTCTTAATCGTTTATTGTACGTCTATAAATCATCATTTAACCCTCTCACATCTCACCAGTGCGATAAAGTTTCGTTCAACGTGGAGAAAAATAAATATTCAAGCCTTAAAAACAATGTTTAATCTTCTCGCGTCTAAAAAATGTGACAAAGTTTCGGTCAATGAGGAGAAAAATAAACATTCAAGCCCTTAAAACTACGTTTAACCCTCTCACATCTCACCAGTACAGCAAAGTTTCATTCAACGCGAAGAAAAATAAACATTCAAGCCCTAAAAACAATGTTCAACCCTCTCACGTCTAAAAAATGCGACAAAGTTTCATTCATCGTGCAGAAAGGTAAATGTTCAAGCCCTAAAGACAATGTTTAACCCTCTCGCGTCTAAAACATGCGACAAAGTTTCATTCAACCTGCAGAAAAATAAATATTTAAGCCCCGCAATGAATTGTTTAACCCTCTCGCTTTTAAAAAATGCGACTAAGTATCGTTCAACGTAGAGAAAAATAAATGTTCAGGCTCCGCAACGAATTGTACCGTTCAACTTCGAGCGACACGGCGGTCGAAGTTCCGAACACGCCGCATTTATAAACGGTTTCATGAGTGGCACGGGGTGTTGCACGAAAAACCAAGGCAGCCGCCATCGACGTTGCCGCGTGTAAAATCCGAGCACTCCTTGTACCTGCAATCTGCATATATATTAGGATCAACCTGCGCCGCGCGGCGGGGCCGTGGACCGGCAGAAAATAAAGGCGCGAACACTCTTCCTCGATTTTTGCGCCGCGGCGAGATTGAGTGCCCCCTCCTCCCCCTTTTTTACCTTTTCTTCTCTACCTTGCCCCCGCATCGAGGCTTTAACGGCCGGATTAATGGCCCCGAGAACTGTGAGCGAGATTTCGCGGCGGTCGCTTGTTGTGTTTTCGGCGGTGCGCGGTTAGAAATGCTTTATACCGTGTCACGTGATGTGTCCGACGCTGGAACTACTGCGCCCGACAAAATGGCGGGTCTTAGTTCTCTGATTTTGCGATTCTCGGTATTTTGAAGGTGTTGAATAGTCGAAGTGATACTGAGAATAGCCTCGTTTGGATGTTACGAACACAGGAATTTGTTGGTACAATTTTGATAATGATTGGGGTTAATTATATTAACCTCCGTCATTCAAATCATTATAAAAATTGTGACAATAGACTGTTTCTTCGGATATTCCCTATGATATTCAAGTGGAGCTGTTTATTTTCGAGATCATTTATATTCGACGCTCTTGAGTTATCACTAATTGCGAAACAAAAGAATGGAGACCGATCATTTCGACTGGTATGATTCCAGTGTTAAAAACTCGGTAAATCTTGTATCAATGTTCTATGGAGACATCGTGATCTTTATCGTAAGATGAACAATGATCGATAAATTGTGAATGGGGATCACGGGACTGTAATATGTATTATTAAAATGATTTATTATTGTATTAAATTCGTGCGGAATGTAAAGCAAGCGATAAACTGTAGCTGAGTTTATAATAAACGCTCGCGTTTGACAATAAGACCAAAGGTTGAGTGTGTGTAAGTTTCAATATGGAATTCCGTATACATTAAATTTTATGGAGACTTTTTCAGCGTGCATGGTACAGTTACGCTT